TCAAGAACCTTCTACTAGTAGAGATATCCCCTCTACTAGTTATGACCTTCCACCTTCTAGTTCCCTTACCCCGACTGATTTAATGAATGAATTGACCTTGCAGCGAAAGAGTATAGAATTAATAAATGAAAGGATTGGAGGTTTAGAACATAGATATGATTATGATAATGAGTATCTTCAGAGACATTCTGATTTTGAGATAGCTTATTACGAAGCTCAGGCCCGACACTACAGAGGTGAGCCTGATGTTACTTTCCCTGAATGCCCCCGATATACTCAGCATCAGCCCAATCCACCTGCTTACCAAGGAGACGAAGATATAGTTTGGAATTTTGATATTTGAATGTAATTGATGTACTTTTACTTTTATTTTTGTAATTTTTGTAATAGAAATATATATATTTGTGTGCTTGTACTTTCATTTTTATTTTTATGTTGTAATTGGATTATTTTAATTATTGTTATAATTGTTGGTGTGGTAGTTGAAATTTGTTAATATGTAATGTGATGTAATTTTTATTTTGCATTTTAATTGTAATTGTTTTTGTTTAGTTTTAGTATTGTGTTAGAAAAATATTGTGTTTGTATAATGTTTAGATTTGTACTTATTTCAAAATTTCTATTTCAAAATTTCATTACCCTTTCATTACCCAACAATTTTTCTAATGATTTATATGTATAGAAAGCTCCTAATGTTAGAGACCAGGTGAAGTAGAAATTTTGAGGAGGACTGCAAAAATATCAAAATGATGAAAATGCCTAAAGTAATAAGGTATGATTTATATTTAGAATTTTTCTTTCCACCTGTATCATTTCATATTGAAAAATTTAAGTTTGGGTGAGGGAAGAAAAAGATTAACTATTATCTAATATTTTCAAAAAATTATTAATATGATTTTATGTAGTAAATTTAATTCCGATAATTATATTTTTGTAGATACCTAAATATTATGGTAGATTTAAAGGAATATTTTTGTAATGAAAATTAATTTTTTGGATTAAGATATTTAGTATAAGAGAATAAGACTATAGTTAACTATTTAAAGTAAAGGAAATTATATTTTAAAGTGTTAAGAATCTGGAAATTTATTTGAAAAGAAAAGATTGGGACTCAATGATGTAAAAGCTATGAAATATTTATAAGGTAAAGAACTTAGAGATTCATGTAAGAAGAAAAGAATAAAACTTTATGAAAAATTTTTAAGCTAATATAAATTTATAAAAACTTTAAGAAGAGGATAGTGAAGTTCAAAATCATTAAAGGCTATCCAGATATAGTAATCATCACCTAAAAAAAAGAAAAAAGAAAAAGAAAAGAAAAATGATTGAAAATGATCCTGAAAAAGAAAAGAAAAGAAAAAAATATATATGAAAGTGAGGAGAAGATTGAGGATATGCCTAATTAAGAATTGACTTAAATACATCATTTGAGTATTCTCAGTGACTTGATATTACATTCCTGAAGGGAAAACTTAAATACATTCCTGAACTTATATTTATAAATTAGATCTTTTACTAGTAGCATTCTCATGAAGTTCCTATCATTTGAGTATTCTCAGTGACTTGATATTACAACAAATAGTCATTCTTGAAATGAATAGAAAACTAGAACTCTTTTTACTTGAATTCTTTCTAAAAATTTCACTATGATATTTATTTAAATCAAAATTATAGAATTTCTGAATTAAAACTTTATTACCATTATTACCATAGATCATAAGATCATAACTTTTATATAGTACTAAAATTACTTGAGGACAAATAATAGTTAAGTTTGGGGGATTTTGACCAAAGGAAAATATGTTGAGATTTTCATACCTATTTTACACTATTTTTGATGATATTGCACTTTAAAGAAAGGTATTATTGATGTTTTATTGCAGGAATGATGAATTAGGGTCATTTGAGCAAAAATATGCAAAAAGGAGCAAATTTGGAGCGAAAAGAACCAAAATGTGAAAATTTGAACTAGAGCATCGACTATCTTCAGAAATCCCTCAAAGGTAATCTTGTCGTTCTATCAAAATAAGTCTTCTAAGAGCTCTCTCATTTTCTCATGTCTTGTGAATGTATCTCTTGAATCTTCAATCCACATTATAAAAAAAAAATTATGAATTTTATGGGTGATGATGATGATAATGATGACGACGATTCTATAAAAAGTATTCTTTGTGAATGTCTCTCATGGATATTTTTAGCTAAACGAATCCTTTTTTGTCTCTGGATTTCTTCTCATAGTCATGTACCTCTTCACACAAAATTCAGAAACCTTATCTAAAATTATTAAAAGAGCATTATTGACAACTTCATACATTCTACCATCAAAATTCAAAAGCATTCAAAGATTTATCTAAGCTATTGTGCCTCATTAAAACCCATATAATCATAATTTCTAAAGTCTTTACATGCCCTATGAGCTATGTACTCATTAAAATTTTTTAGTATGTTATATCAATATCATGTGCCAACCCGATGGTTTGTCACTAATGTTCCAAGATGTGACTATTTTACTATTCTTAAATATTCAGCAAGATTAATCTCAATTTCAAAGCACTCAATCATCCATACTATTAAAAATGACATGTCATTTTAAGAGTGAAATGAAACGGGAAAAATAATTTTAATAAGGTTCCATTTACTATTATTTTTTTATTGATGCAGTTGTAAATAAAAATCAAAACATGTCTAATAAAGACAAATAAATAACTCTTGAAGTCAAATCAAGAAATAAATACATATTAATAATGATACCACATCTTAATCTGTTGGTTGAAAACTTAAGCTTCAATTGAAGCCTTCCATATGTCATGTGTGTGTGAATTTAATATTAAATTTACTTGAAGTTTAAAAAATAATATATAAATTATCAACTCACAATTTCTCACATTAAAATAGTAAAATTGTGCTAAAAACTAAATTACAAGAGTTCATGCTTTGTATATATTTTGCAAGACATATTTAACTGCGAATCATTTTTTATGGAGAAAATATTGCATCAGGACTCCGCACGTAGAATTACATTCGGAGTCAAATGAAATCACGCCATGTAGAAAAATAAAATAAAATCTGTCTGGTAACACAAGAGAATATTCCTCCCGTGTTATTCAAGTGTTATTGTGTGTTATTCAAGTGTTATTGTATGTTATTCAATTGTTATTGATGTGTTATTGTGTTATTATAACACTGAGAATATTCCCAAAACACAATAACATCTGAATAACACATACAATAACAACTGAATAACATGAAATAACACGAGGAGAATATTCTCTTGTGTTACCAGACCAATTTTTTTTTCTATCACTTCCACGTGACGTAATTTCATTGAACTCTGTACGTAACTCTACGTGTGGAGTCGTGATGTAATATTTGGAATATTCTCTTGTGTTACCAGACCAATTTTTTTTCTATCACCTCCACGTGACGTAATTTCATTGAACTCTGCACGTAACTCTACGTGTGGAGTCGTGATGTAATAATTTTTCCCCTATCTTTTTTTTAAAAAAAAATTTTTTTATGGGAAGCATGGCATCAATTTCAATTGTTTTAACTTTAAGGGGGCGTTTACATACATACCCATCCAATTCCTATGTATTTACAAATCTAACATCTTTTTATTTTTATATTTATATCACCCAAAACTTTCATATCACATAAAATATAAACCCATTTTAACTTTTTTAAGAAACAAGTATATCATTACATGAAAAGGCATCTTTGTAAAAATTAAAATTAAAGGGTTACATAGAAACTGGGAGGTATGCATGTAAATCTTAAAATCATATCCCCGCCAGGCCGCTGAGGTTGCAGGACGCCGAGGGAAACGGGTAAGCTTATAAAAAAATACAAAATTCCAACGAGGGAAAGGAGCGTACAGGAACCTTGTTGGACCATGGCGAAGATTTCTATGATTCTTAAGAGCCGAGTGCTCATTCAAGCAGAAAGGCGATATTTTTCTCTGCTTTCTGAGCTCTTTGCTCTTCCTTTCCTTAAGACATGGAGTCCTTTTGCCGCGATTGAAGGGTTTCACTTCATAGACGGCTCTGGTCTTCCATGTATTTCAGATGAATCTGGTAAAATTTTGGAGCCGTGTTGTATGGATTTTATGTTATTGGTTTAGGGTTTAGGGTTTAGGGTTGCATTCTTCATTAGAGAGCCTTGTTTTATAATTTATGAGTACTTCCAGCTTTTGCTTGTTAGTTTCGATCATTCTTTGTGATTTTGAGATGGGTGATGTTAAAGCTGCAACTTTCTTCTAGATTTCCCTTTGGCCTTAATTTATTCTTTTAATTTCTATCTTTATAAACTAGTTTGGGCTGATGGGTTGGTTTTATTCCTTTCTGCAAAATACTGGATTTTGTGTTGTTAGCAGACCTAGTACAAGAAACTATGAGAGAAAATTAGTTATTTGTCCTCCAATTTTACCGGCTTTCGATCATATTTTTTGTGTTATTTGTTTTTCTTGCAGATATATGGTTAACAATTTGCTAATAAGTTGTACATTCAAGTAATGATATTGTGAAGGAAGAACTGATGACTCTTCATTTAGCTGATTTTAATCTTCTGTTAGCATATTTATGAGAGGGTGCCACTCAATTCCTCACATCACAGAAAATTTGGCCCCTTTGGGAAATCAATATCAATGGGGCGTTTATCAAGCCTTCATATTCTCCTCCTTGGTTTTATATCTGCAGTAATTTTGCAGACTGTGACAGGAGATCCAAGGACTGGTCTTGTAAAGCAATTTTGCAGTAGTACCTTAACAGCATCTGGTTCTATTCTCGCAGAAAATTTTGTTCCCGCGATGGATAATCTAAGCAGTTTGGTTAATTCACATGGTTATGGAACAAACATAACAGGAATAGACCCTAATGCAGTTTATGCTCTTGCTCAGTGTTATGGAGATCTCAGTCCAATCGATTGTAAGCTGTGCTTCTCTGAGATCAGATCTCAGCTGCCTAAATGTTATCCCAACACCGGTGGTATACTTTTCCTTGATGGATGCTTTGGGAGATATGAGAATTACTCATTCTTTAATGAAATTTATTCTCAAAATGACACAGCTGTATGTTCTTTTAGTAATAATGGTTCAAATCCAAGCATTTTTGGTCGTCTTGTGAAGGTGGTTGTTGGCAATGTGTCTTTGCAAGCACTGAATAATCATGGTTTTGCTGTTGGTTCTGCATCACTTTCAAATACTACTGTTTATGCTCTTGCTCAGTGCTGGGAGAACCTGAACCATTCACTTTGCAGCTCATGTCTTGATTCTGCCACTTCAGAAATTCTTTCATGTTCCCCAGCAATGGAAGGGCGTGCTCTATATGCTGGTTGTTTCATAAGATACTCGACGGGACTTTTCTGGAATGTAAACAATTCGACTTCGAGTTCTAACGGTATGTCAGAAACACTTTCATTGTGGTGAAGTATTGATACCTTTAAATCATGATTATGCTTTCGATTTTGCAAATTTCTTATATTTTACACTAATGGTTATGTTCAAATAAGAGAATTACGAAGCTGGAATCACTAGTCTCTTGAGTTTAGTCATATGGACAAGATAATATGGGCTGAGTTGAAATCAAAGTTTAATTTTTCCTATTTTGTTTCATGGATTGTTAGAAATATTTCATGGGTTACAATGATCCAGAATATGAGTTAAATTCCATGGAAAGTAGGCATGAGTGGGAAAAGGAAGATAAAAGTGTTCTTTTTTTAATGGCTTCTGCAACTAATGTAAATGTGAAGCTATATGAATTATCATTTGTTCTCATTGTTTTCTACTATTATGGTTAGTCATAGGCACTGATTTGATTGCAAAAATGATTTTACAAAGTTTTATCAGATTCTATTGTTCTGTATTTTTATTTTAGATGCATACTAGGAAAAATTCAAAGCTAGCAAGAAAATATTTTCATTTGGCATGGATTAAAGGTACTGGAGACCCTTCATTAATGAGAAATTCAGGGTGTTACCAGACAGTCTCTTGAAAAAGTTTGTGCTACAACCGCTATTGCATGATAACCTCAAAAGGAAAAGGGAAAACAAAATGTACCACATGAGTGTAAAAAAGTTCATAGAGGATAATATTACAGAAGTATGAAAGCAAGAAACACATAATTACTGTGTGGGAGTTCGATTCCAACTTTTCATCCATTACAAGTCCGTTAAATACTGTATTTATTGTTAAAATGACAAATCATGAAAAATACGAAAGCCAAAATACCACAAATTGCTGGCTTCCATTTTGAAACCAAATCTCCATTTTTAGGTACTGTTTGTTTTACTGGTTAGCTTAGTGAGACAACTGGCATACATATTAAAGTGAAAAATAATACATATAAAAGAGTATTACACTTCCTATGCCATTTATTTAGCAAGAGCCTGTAAACAAGATAATGTGCGTTCTGTGCACTATAATACAACACATAACACACATAGTACACGCTATTTTATCTGTGACACTTGTGCACTCTCTATTCTATCCATTATGTAATTATTTATTTTCGATTAATTTTTTTACTATTTTCATACATTTTTTTCTCTATTTTACTTATTATTTTTCTGTTTAATGCTTACGTTTGTTCAATCTAATTTAGTTGATTGCTAGAAATGGTGTTACTCTAAAAAAATTTGCAGAACTATTATATAATTTTAAGCCATATTACGACATTCATTAGCTTGAAGAAGTAGAAAAATGTTATATTTAGGTCAATTTCTCAGAAGTTTCATCATGTGCCTTTTGCTATCCTCTATGTTTGATAATTCAATATTATATTTTATTATATTTATTTGAAATTATGATACATTTTAGCATTAGGATATTTTATTTCATGCAATATTGAATTTTAATATATTGTTCTTGAGTTTTAGTGTTATGCACTATTTTTTTCATGTCATAAACAATCCGTGAAACCTTTGTACTATGCTTACGATTCACTATTGAACATAGCTCCATGATTCCACTCAGCTCCATTGCCTTTACATTTAACCCATTATTGATTGTATTTGTACTTCTTCACATTTTTTGTTTCTACACAAGTCATCTTTGTGCTATGAGTTACCATTCAGGTTGTTTTTTTTTTCTATTTTGCTTATTTTTAATATTGATTTCTGTCGCTTGTTGGTTCACTAATCAGAATCTTTTTAACAATTAGATAAAAGTAAAATCATATGGATGATAGTCGGTCCATTGCTTGGATTTATCCTTATACTAGTGTTAGTATTCTTGCTTGCAAAAAGAAAAGGCTTATTGGGAAGCAAAAAGAGTCCCTCCCTAACTGGTAGGCTGCATTACCACCTTAGTTGAAATCCAAATTGTATTTTTATAACTGATATTTATGAGGTCTTTTTGCTCTTACTGCAGACTTGTATGGACCAGAAATTGCAGCAGCCATTTCTAAGTCTAATTTAAATTTCAAATATGATGAATTGAAGAAGGCTACAAATAACTTCAGCTTCTCAAACAAACTTGGCCAAGGTAGTTATGGGACTGTATACAAGGTAAATATGGCACATTAGCTGGGTTCAATAGTAAAAAGTCTAGACTTCCAACTGATTCTTTGATTGCAGGGAATCCTTTCTGATGGAACGGAGGTTGCTGTAAAGATGCTGTTTCTTAACACAAGACAGTGGATTGATCAATTCTTCAATGAAGTTGATCTGGTAAACCAAGTTCGCCATAAGAATCTGGTGAGGTTGCTGGGCTGCAGTCTAGATGGTTCAGAGAGCTTGCTTGTTTATGAGTACTACTACAACAAGAGCCTGGATCTATTTATATTTGGTATTTTGAAGCTTTTTCCATCTCATTTGTTGTTTTATTATTAATTGCCGTTCCTTTTATCAAAAAGTTAGTTATTTGCAGTTGGCATACCTTGGCTTTAGATTTCTTTCTTGATATCATAAACATCTATTATTTCCTTATTTTATGCTTTATTTTTTGACTGAACAGCATCTTGGCTTAAGATTTAACTTTCCAATATCTTATTGCAGTAATATGTTTTTCAAGCTGTTAACCCTCTGAAATTGTTTATCTAAGATGCAAATTTCTTAATTTTCTATTAATATCCTGTATTTATATGTGCCCCATAGGGCCGGTAGTATGTATTTCTTTTTCCTGATTGAACATCTTAACTTCTTTTAGATCAGTAAAGAGTAACTGCTAAATTATGTTCACATCATCTTTTGGTTTCTTGTGATCATATATTGGAACAGATGAAGGTCAAGATAAATTTCTAGACTGGCAACAGAGATTTGATATCATTCTAGGGGTTGCAGAAGGTCTATCTTATCTCCATGAAGAGTCAGACACAAGAATCATCCATCGAGATATCAAGGCTAGTAATATTCTATTGGATGCCAAGTTTAAGCCTAAAATAACTGACTTTGGCCTTGCAAGATCTTTTGCTCAAGATCAAACTCACCTTACCACTGGGATTGCCGGAACTCTGTAAGAGCAGTTTTTACTTTTATGAAAATGGGAAACTATATTTTTTTGATGTTTAAATGCTCTACCCTTTCCTGGAGAGTTTTGTGCTTTTCTGCAATACAGCATTTTATATCAATTAATTATGCTAGTTTAGCATTATTTGGATAAATTGCTAAGGATTTAATTCTTGATTTAGGGGTTATCTTGCTCCAGAGTATATTGTACATGGGCTTCTTACTGAGAAGGCAGATGTGTACAGCTTTGGTATTCTGGTTCTTGAAATTGTGACTGGAAAGAGATGCAGCAGTCCTGTTGGATCTCGTGCAGAACTTTCACTTGTTGCAAAGGTACTTAAACTATATTTAGTTTGTTTAATTAACTAAAAATTCACTTTTATCTTTTATTTTTGGATGATTATAGATATATTTAAATGATGTGTGCATGAAAAGCATTACTTTAGCTATTTTTTGTTTGTTTTGTCAAGTAGTCGGTTCTTTGTGCCCTCTGGGATGTGACTGAAATTTTTAAACGGGTAGTAAATTAAGACAAGATAAAGGAGAATGCACTTTCTTGATCATAACTATCTTAGCTAGGATCATGGTTTTAATTAACTAAACATGATAGGGAATGGGAAGTTTGGCTTTCAAAAATTAATGATAAGGCTTTTGTTTGAGCATATTCAAACTAGAGTATAAGATGCGCCAATGTCTAAGGTATATACTATTAACAAGAGGGAAGTAGAAACGATAAATGGTGTTCCCAAAGTTATTATTGCTAGAAGTTATGTTAAAGGCTTGCACATAATTGCATTAATTCTAAGCATTTGTTGAAAATTAGAATGAGAAGAGAGAAGTGTTAAAAATAGGATATTGTTTGATTTAATTTTAGGTGCGATTAGATACAGGGAACCCAAAACATTGCTATTTACAAATCAAGCACTCTCTTTCATCCATTTTTCGAATTCTCACTCAAATATCAAAGGTCATGATAAAACCCCAACTCATTTTTCATTTTTATCAAATTCACAATGGTTTGATTATGACACATGTAAATGCATTGATTTCATAGTTCAAAAAATCAAGAGGGTGCTTGATTTGTAAATAGCAATGTTTTGGGTGCCCTGTATGTAATTATATCTTAATTTTATTCTCTAACTCTGTATAAAAAACAAGCTGACAAGCTGTAGATAAATAGGCAAAGTAAAGAAATAAATCTAAAAGTTATCACTTAATTCTGAATCTAGAATTAATTATACAATAGAAATAGAATGCTGCTGCCCACATATTACTCGATTGCTGTAGATGGAATGCTGCTGCCCACATAAAGCCAAGATGGAAGCTGACAAGCTGTACATAAATATGACAAACTAAACACAGTATGATACTCTGTCCATGGACTAGTGGATTGGTGTAGATAGAAAGTTGCTATCCATGAAGTACTGGATTGCTATAGATGGAAAGCTACTGTCTAAGGAGTATTAGTTGTCATAGATAGAAGGGTGTTGACCACTGATTCAAAATTATTTCACAACACTCCCTCTAAAGCAATGTTATATGTTAATTTATTAAAATTCATCATGGTAAAGCCTAACTGATATAGTTACAGTTTAAGAGTTCTTTGAATATATTCACTTTATTTTGTAATGAGATGTTAGCCTATCATACTGTGTTTAGTTTGTCATGCTGGATAAATATTTGTAATACTTATAGCAGCTTAATTGTCAGGGTATACTGTTAGAGATTTTCTCACTTGATAGTTTAAATCATCCAACAATCATTTTAACCACATTCATTTGCAAATACAAATTGCCACTGATATATTTAGCTTCTACATTGCTTTTTGAGACTACATATTGTTACTCATATTTCTATGTAAGTATGTTACCCATTCATAAGTAGGATAATTAGAAGTGGATTTTCAGTTTGATGAATCTCCTGTTCAATTAACACATGAATTTTTTTTATTATTATTATATTCTTTTGGATGACTTTGTATTACAACATGCCTCATCCTGGTATCGTTTCGAGGTACCTTATAATGCGGTTAATAGGTTGCATTTGAGCTTCAATAAGGTTATTTTCGTATTGGCTTACGACACTAACAATAAACCCAATATCATGGGTGGATGAGTTTACCCACAAGATATCGATGCATATCTTCATCAACAACTATTGCTTGAATTTGGCTAGCTTTTACTTGTTATGCTAAATAGTTAATTAATTGGGCTCGTCGGATTTGATTGTCTTAATTCTTTGAACGGGAAGTGATAGAAGTTGAAAGACAAAGGGGAGTGCACAAGTTAGTTGAAAATAGATTTAATTCGTTTGAGCATATACAATTTTAGGCACAAGATGCACAGAAGCAATCAAATTGACAAAGGGTATACCCAAAGTATAATGGCTAGAATTATGTAGAAGGCTTGTATATAATAGAACTATCGCCTCATTTAACACCCATAGGAATGAATGTGTTAGACTAACGCCTAAGAACATTTATGTTTTTATTAGTTCTTATTTTTTAGTATAAATAGGGCTTATTATGCTTAGAGTTAGGTATGATATGACATTGTTATCTTGAGTCTTTTGGTTAAGTCTTGGGAGAGATCGCCAACCTCTCAATTTATAAGTGCTTATCTTTTATCCATTTGGTGTTGTTGAAATAAAACATTTATTTTAGTCTAATTTCTATGGAAGAATCATCTCATTTCCTATAAAATTGGTATTAGAGCATTTTCATTCTAGGAAGTAAAGATGGGATAACGATGTTTCCACAAAATTTCTGTGGTTTGAGCTAGCTGTGAAGCCGACGAGATTGCATCGTGACCTAACCTTTTGAAATAGTCTCGATTCGAGCGAATTGGGAAGCCTATGATGGGATTGCGACATCCAGGATCTGTGGAATTAAGGATTGCGACATACATGATATGTAGAATTGCAAGCTGGGAAGCCTACCACGGGATCACGACGTATAAGATCTATCTTCTTGACAGTAAACTTGTCGATACAGTCATGATTAGAGCTACATGAGAAGGCCTTGTCGGGATCGCAGAGTACATAGACTTGAAACTCCCGTCCTTTTCCTCTTGTCGCTTTGCTCCTACCCGAATTCATTGAGGAAGGGGACTTCGATGTTGGAATCATACATTTCCTCCCGCGACCGAACCTCTTGTTACGACCGCAATTTGAGATAGCTGGGAAGCCAACGACGGGATCACCGCTTAAAAGATTTACAGAAAAGTACATGGAGCAAAGGCGAACAATAAATGATTTGCAGAATACACTGGAGGAAGAAGTGAGCCAATTTAATTTGGAAATGGAGTAGCATTTCAAGTCCCTTGAGGGGGGATTTACGATCTTGGAAGAAATGATGAAGAAGATCGTAGAGTTCAACATAAATCTGCCACCACATATAGCGGATCAAATGAATGTGTCAAGAGTGTACTCGAGCGACAACACTTGAAAGGAATAACGTGACATCCAGACGGTTGGAACGAGCGAGAGCAGGAGGAATGGGACGTCATGCGATTTGGGGCTTCAAAAGATCTATTCAAAGGAATTCGATCTAGAACAAGCAAACCAAACAAAGACTGTATCCCACCGTTCTAGTGTTTTTTGCTGTGGCAGCCTTACAAGCGAAAGGTAATTCAGGAACCTATGGGGGCGGGCGAACTGAGTTTGGGGAAAGCCATATTTATGGAAGAAAGGAAATAACTGTGGGTCACGGAGGGTAACCTAACCCCCGCTTTTTGGGTGGAATAAACTTCAGTCGAGAAATTTGGGGAGGAGACATGCATAAAGAAGCTGAAGTGGTTAATCTTTGAAGGAGAGGATGCCTATGTTTGGGTTAATTGTGTGGAGATATACTTTACTATTAACGGGCTGACGGAGGAAGAAAAATTGATGGCGGCGACCTTGTGTTTGGAGGGGAAAGATCTAGGTTGGTATAAATGGAGATAACGTCAGCCAATCAGAACATTAGAAGAATTAAAGGACTGATTGTTGGAGAGTTTCAAAACCATGCGAGATGGGAATTCGCATGAGCGGTTTTTTGCAATTATTCAGGAAGGGCCCTTCATGGATTATAGGGAGAAATTTGAGATGTATCCGACCATTGAAAGGAATATCAGAAGTGTTGGAAAGAAACTTCATGAAAGGGTGGAAGCTAGAGATTCGAGCAACACTTTGTTTGTTGAGACAGCGAGAATTAGAGGGAAATAGCGTAGCTGGTTGAAGATAAAAATGCAATAGAACGAGCTAATAGAAGCATCACAGGTGGAGCGTTATATCGAACTACTACAACCACGACAAAACCAAAAGCTCAAACAATAGAAGTCTAGAGAGAGGTTCCACAGGACATGAATAATAGGTCACAACTGAGTGCGACACTCAAATGCTTTATAGAAAAACATGTTCAGGAGAAGCAAGCTAAGGGATATCTTCAGTGTGATGAGAAGTTTATAACAGGACATCGTTGCAAGGATCAAATATTACAGGTTCTCACAGTATTTAATGAGGCGGGGGATGCAAAAGCAGAGAAGACTGTGGTGGAGGAGGAACACCCTCACCTTGATGTGGTAGAAGTCACATTAAACTCGTTGATGGGGTTAACATTGAAACACACTCTGAAACTTCATGGACATATCAGATAGCAGGACGTAGTTGTGTTGGTAGATAGTGGGGTCACCCATAACTTCATCTCGTGAAGCACTTCGGGCTTGAGATGGTTGACACAAGTAGTTTTCAAGTTATGATGAAGATATGTGAAGAAGAGCATGGGAGTTTGTAAAGGGCTGACAGTGCAGAGTATTCAGGTGCTAAAGGACTTTCTTCCCTTAGATTTAGGGCTCTTGACATGATATCAGGTGTGAGATAGTCACAATCCTTAGAGGAGATTATGATGAATTGGGAACCCTTGATCATGGAGTTTCAGGAGAGAGATGAGATAGTTCTGCTTCACTGTGACCCCAGTTAGTAATAACCGATATTAAATAAATTAATAATTATAGTACTAACAAAATAAAATAAA